ACAGTCTGAGGGATGCGGTGGGAAACGGAAATGAAGCCCCTTTGTTTGTGATTTAAGATTCTGAGGCGACAAGACATAGATTTAAAGCAGGTGTGAGATCCTTCTGAGGAGAGGAGAGCAGTGTGCAGACACCCTGGTCCTTGTGGCCTCTGAGGCTGCTCCTGCTCTTAGCCCCACCCTCCATCATCCCACCCTTCTACCCCCACACTCCCCAGAGAAACTGCAAGGTGCTAATTCACCTAAGCCTGGCTCATTCATTTAACAGTGAAGCCAGCATCTGAAGCAAACCAGACACTACTCCCCTGAAATCTGAGGTTTAAAAGCCAGAGCAGCGGAGCTCCATAGCTGAGTCTGGGAGGCCAGCGGTCTCTTCCCTCCTTGTTAAGACTGGGCCCACACCAGAAGTGCTAAGCAAGAGCCAACCCAAGAAAAACTAAAGGGCTCCCAACAAAACCGATTGGCCGGGGCCCTTCTGTTGGCATTAGAGGAGCCTCGATTTCAAATTCTCACAATCACTAATGAGTTCCTAAGTCCCTTCGGCTGTGCTGACAGTGGGCACAGACGTGCGGGGCTGGCTTGAGAGAGACTTGAACGTGAACCTGACCATCTGGCTCTCTGGAACTCACTTTGATCACAAAATGAATTGCAACAAATTGAAGAGCACATGGCTGGAGCTAATTGTCTCATCTGTAATCTGAACCTACTTTTAAGCACTTATTATTACCCTCTATCAGGTGGAAACATTTCCTCCCAGCACAGCAAAGTGCATTTTCCTGATGAACTGTAATGGATCATTAAATTCCATATCTGAATAACAATACTTTGCACTTATTCGGTGCCTTTCATCCTGGGATTTCAAGGCAGTTTGCAAATAATTAAGCCCCTCACACAGCAGCCAGAGGTGAGTGACTGGAAGGGAATTGCCTGAAGATTCTGAGTCAAAGGGCATAATTCAATAGAAAGAGAAAGCAGGCCATCCTCCCAGGCACTGGTAGCACTGAAAGTAAATTAGGAGATATTTTATTCCCTCCAACCCTTTCTGCTTCACTCCTGCTCCATGGCAGATTCTGAGATGCGACATACAAAGCACTAGGCATGCCTGAATAACTAACAGGGGTGCTTTTAATCTAGCTAGGACTTAGACATTCGCATGTCTGAGGAAAATAGATCTCTGTGAACTGACATTTCAACCCACTTGCAGAACCAGCAGATATCAGAAGAATTTACTCAAACATTTAGATCACCACGTGGCAAACCTGAGGCCTACTAAAATCCAAAATGTAAATATTAACCAAACTACTTCATTTTGTGATTGCATATCCCGTTTCTGGTGTCTGTCTTCATTTGAGTGACTTCGGGTTTCAGAAATGGCAGGAGAAGCCAAAGAGGGTAATCAATGGTTTTAAAGTCCAGAACACCAGAAGCCATTCAAAGTTTTGTGGCGATTATAAGCGCCTGGAGAACTGAATTACAATAGAGACCCTGACAGATCTTTCATTGGAGCATTTGGGCTGCAACGCTGAGAATTAGCAAGACTAATTCTAACAAGATGTCTTTCTTCCCCCCACTACGTTTATTACCTGCAAGAAATGAAAAGGGCATTCCACTGGTGAGCAGCTGGAGGCCCAGGACAGGATGACCTCACATTTTAAGCAAGTCGCCTGCTGCCTCGCAGAAACAGCCATCTCTACTGGAGGAGCGGCGAACAGCGGTTCAAGCTTAGCTTTTCCAGCCAGCCAGAGCTTTACTGGCGCTACAATTTCCTACATGTTACATTTTAATGATCTGAGAAAACAGTCATCAGAGTTAACATCTCTAATTTTACTCTAAACAGATAAAAGCAAAAAAGACAAAAAAAAAAGAAAAGAAAATCTAATTAGACATCATCTCCACCAAAGTACCCACTAGGCAGGGAAGGATTTTTATCTAAAGTAATTACCCTTTTTAGTTAAATACTCTCAGAGACTATGACACTAGACAGAGAAGGTGAAATCCAGAAACACGTCGCCTGGCCGCCCACGAGCCCGCCGCAAGTCACAGCTGAGTCTCATACGCAGGACGCTCCAGCTGCGCTCTTGTTCCCGGAGACAGTAACAACAGTGGCCGAACCCACTAAGTGCGAGGAACACCTTTTTGGGTCATACACCCTACCACACACAGTCTTACAGGAACTTCGCCCAAGCTGCCAAACTTTCATGTATGCAAGAGCACGCAGGGGAGACTTTATGTGCCCATGACTCCCGGGGCTAGGGGTGTGCGGCCCTTCAGACCACGCAACCCTGACGGTTTTCTCTAAGTTCCTGCAAATCCTCGCCCAGCTCGAGGTCGCTCAGATGCTCGGTCGAGTCCCCCTCTCGCGGGCACCCAGGGTAGTCCATGAGCGCCGCCCGCCGCCCTAGCCCTCTCCGTGTGCGGCTCGCTCTGCCCCCGAACACCCAGTGCTTGAGCGAACTGCAAAACCCTCAGAGGGCCGCGGCGTGGGGCGGTGGGGCAAGCTGTCCCTTCCTTAAACTCGGCTTCTGGGTGGAGCTCGGGGGTTCGGAGACCGGAGCACAGGTGTACATGTGTGTTGTTGGACCTTGGGGAGACGGGGTTTGCAAGGTGTCCCTCTCGGAGGCCATGAGCTCCACTGCGCCCGGCGACCCTGGCTCGCCTGGTTCTAGCGCCCGCGGGGTGGTTCTGTCCGAGCCACCCCGCGGCAGCTGACAGCTGAGCGCAGAGCCGCGGGGACCGAGGAACGGCCGCGCGCGACTGCGGTGGGCAGAGACCAGGCCACCCGGGCTGGCGGGAGCGCGGGCTGGGGACAGAGGCAGGGCCGTGGGTCTGACAGCTGCTACGGCTCGGGCTGCGCTCCTCTCCGCACCCGCCCTCCCGCCCCACGACTGACTTATTACCCTGGGCTCCTCCTCCCCCTGCTGTTCCAAAACACCCGGCGACGCGAGCAAAATACAATGCCGCCTCGCCCGCCGTAAACAGGCAGGCGGGAGAGCGCGCCCCGCCGCCGCGTCCTCCGCTCCCACCCCCCCTTCCCGTTCCTAGAAAATGCCATCAGGCGGCCGTGGGCGGGGAGCGGCCGTCCGCCCTCCGGCCTCGCTGCCCGCCGCCGCGGCCCCACGCCACCCGCTGCCCCGCGCGCCCGCTCCCCGCGCAAACTTGCCCCGCTGCGTGGCCGTGGCCCGCGGCCCGGGTGGGCACTCACCTTCCCGGGAACTTTCGTCCTTCCGCGCCGATCCTGCCCGCGTCTTCCCAGCCCGCAGCCCCCTCCCGGCCGCCGGCGTGGTGGGCGGTCCTGGGGTCACCGAGAGCAGGCGGAGGGGATGCGCATCACATGGCAGCTCGCTCGCAGCCCCCCGAGTCCGGGAAGGGGGAGGGGAGCGAGCAAAGCGCGCGGTGGCGGGGGCGGTGGGGGCGGGCCGCGACGGAGGGGCGGCGGGCGGACGATGCGGGACGCGGGGGGCGACCGCAGCCCGGTGCGCGGCCGCGGGGCTGCTGCTTGAGGCGGCGGCGGCGGGGTTGCTGGCTGCGCCGCGCGGCTCGCGCTCTCCCGGAACGCCCACACTCTCAATCGCTACATTGTTGACATTCGGCGCTGACGTCACCCGCTCCCCATTCACAATAACTTTACGGGAGCGGGGCAGCGCACCTCCCCGGCCGCTGGGGCGCCGTACGCCGGGTGATTGGCGTAAGCCGCTCCGCGAATGGCGCTCCCGGGGCTCGGGCCCGGGCGGGCGGGCGGGCTGGCGGGCGCGCGCTTCGCTGGCTGGCTCGGGGAGGGGGCGCGCCTGTCGCCGCCGCGGACGCAGGTCTTCCCGGCTTTGTGCTGGCCGCGCGGCCCTCAGAACCCTGTCTTCCCCACCCGGAAGACTGCCTTGCTCCGACTAGTCTTGCCCCGGCATTGAGAGTCAGGGGTTATGGAGCTAGTGGGGTTACGACAACGGCGAAGGCCATTGTGGCACGTGGGGAGGTTGCCCTAGCCATAGGCGTTTCATCAAAGGGAGAAACTGACTTGGAACCTGACATTCCGGGTCGACTACACAGTTTCCCTGAAGAACAGGGCAAGACGAACTAAGGACCCCTGGAAAGCTGAGTCTCCAAGTGAGCCTTGATAGAGCGGCTCCCGAACCAAGAGGCCTGCCCCACTAAGGGGGCCTCCAGCCCCCACACACTATCTATCGCCTTGTCTAAATAAGAGCCCCTTTCCGTCCTTAGCCTTAGCTCCCACTGTGTCGCAGCCCCTGTTCCTTGCTTGTCCCTCTGAACGCTGTCCGGCTGCTGCTGCCCATTAAGCCATCCTGGGTTTGATGTCTGGAGGCTTGGTGGTGGTTGAAATTTTAAAGACAGTAATTAGGACAGGCTAAATGTACATTTTCAGAATAATAAAAAAAAAAAAAGCCTGTGTTAGTGTCGCGCTGGTGCCTGCAACTTTACCCCTCGCCAAGGCCAGGAAACCGCCATGTTTCCCTAAGCACCTATAACTTGCCCCCCTGTGTAGGGCAGTGTTTCGTATTATTACACGTGGTGCTGGTTTTTAATGAAGATTATAAAACTTGGGCTGGCTCTACTGAGAGAAGGATCATAAATCCTCCCCCCGTAAAATGGGCCCTGGCATACGCTGAGGAAGGCGGGAAGCTTCGCCTTGGGAGTCTTGTGGTATCATCCGAAGGGTTTGCCCCAGCCACCCTCACTTGAGTGCTCAGTTTTCAAAGACTCCATTCGGGAGGTCTGTGTGAAACTAAGCCAGGGCCCCATGCAGGACCCAGCTGTTTTTCTACCTATGTGCCCTCTTCATGGGAACCCCGGCCCTCCTTTCTCTACTTTGGTTTCTTAGTCTCTCATCCTGCCCCCCTGAAACTCTGCATGGGAAGTTTCTGCCCAGCCTGCTGGCAAGGACAGAACACTGATCCTGGCCTGCAACGCGGTGGTTTCTCAGAGCCGCGAGTGGTTCTGCTGCCACTGATCTCCATTCTCTCAAACGTGTATTATTGAAAAGCTGTGCGCATTTTAATAGCAACAATAGATGTTTTCTTACATGAGCCAGGCTGGAGAACCTTCCCGTGACAATGTTTAAAGGCATTTCGTATCAAGCAGACCATGTCTGCTGGGCATCCGTGCAAGTAAGGTCCCAGTGTCTGCTGTGTCTGCTGGGACATCAGTGTAGAAAGGAGAGCAGGGTGTTGCTGCTACAAATGGATCCATGTTCCCTCCTTTCTAGTTTCAGAGTGTTACCGCAAAGGCTAATAGGTGTTTTTCTTTAGTCTACCCACCTAAAGACAGCAAATACAATTTTAAAACGACAAGAGGTTTTGGTAGCAACTCATTTGCAGAGGGTGGCTTGTCTTCAAGATTATCTCCAGCTCCAAAATCTTATCTTCTATGTCCATAAAGAAGTCAAAAATCTTTGTGTTTGGGGAGCTTGAAGAAGACTAATAGGGACTTAGCTGTTCTGTTTTTTTATTTCCAGTAGTTAGAAATTCTTTGAATCAAACTCCAGAAGTCATACTCCAAAATAGTCATGCGATAGTAATGGTAAGTCAAGTCCTGGATGGGCTTTCCCCAGTACTGCGGCCGAGGTCGGGCTGCAGGCAGCCTCAGCACCTTCATCCTGCTTGTGGGCCAGTCTCTGAGTGAGCCCTTTAGACACAATGGGAAACAGATGCAGGAGTTTCTCCCTGTGAATCTCTGCCAGTAACCTGAGCAGAGCTCAGTTTATTTCCCATGCCTGGAACACTCGACCACTTTAGATCAATGTTTCTTCTCCCTCCACAATTACCTGTGTGTTTGACCCTGAACACGAACTTTTTCTAAACACTTTGAAAAGGAAAAAGTAAGATAGGCTCCAAGCAGAGGATTGAGGGAGGAAAGGCACCATGTAGGGCTTGGTGGTGTTGGGAAAATTTGGTGGTTCTTCTCCTAAAGGCAAAATAGGAGACAGAGTTTTAAATGTGATACCTTGAATAAGGCACAGCAGGGCAGTGTCACCAGTGATGAAAGAGGGAGGCTCAGAGTAAGAGCACCAAATCCAAACCCAGGAGCAGCCAAGTTACCCAGGGAACGCGGCTGAAACAAGCTCCTCGGCATTATGGCCAGCACTTATCCTTTCAAGACCAGATGTCAGGAAGTATATCTAAGCTGTGAAATGTAACCGCACCAATGCACCGGGGACACTTGGGAGAATGGTGGCATTTGAGGAGGTGAGAATGTGATTTGTTCAGCAGTTGCTGAACCACCTGTCATGTGGAACCAAGCTTCCTGATGAGGCTGGGATGCGGACAGAGGAAGACGAGGAGCCAAACTCCATGCTGTGTCGGCAGGTTCTATGTCACAGTGGCTGGGGGTGGAGCACACACACCAGTGGTGGGCTTGGTGCTACTCTTAGGTTAGGTGACTGGGTCAGAAAAGTCTCCTAAATGAAGGAACTTTCAAGATGAGATGTGAATGCAAGGGGACGACCCCCACAGCTGTTTTGGGTGACTCAAAGGTCTTTGGGTAAGGTAGGCTTAGCACTCTTCCATGGAATAAAGCATCCAAGAGGCCATAAGGCCTGAGAACAGAAAGGAGAGTAGCAGCACGCTAGCTAGGATGCCAGCGGGCTTTCACAGGAGGCAAAGTCTCAGAACTCGGAGTAGCCTTCAGTCTGTTTTCTGACCTTGTTCTCCTTGGGGCAAACAGTCTTTGGAGAAGTTCTGGCCCATCCTCCTGGCAAGGACAGACTAAGGCTCCTGGAGCAAAGGGAAAAACACGTGTAAGAGCTTCTGTAGAGACCAAGCATGAACTGGTCAGCTCCAAAGGGTCATTCTGTCTGCTCAGCAGAGGGAAGTCAGGAATGGAGGCAGAGAGAGCAGGTAGAATGGATGGGGGTTGTGAGGTAAGACCACAGGAGGAGTAGGTATGGGAGGGAGACTCAAGTAGTGGGTTTGGGGATACCAGACAGCTGAGTGGAAAAGTTGGGCAAGTAAATAAGATATAGGCATTAAAACTGAGGAGAGAGGTCCTGGAGGGGGAGGGGACTTTGTGGATTAGGATCTGGAGTAATACAACATTTAGAGGTCAGAGGTTGGGAAGGAAGACAAGGAGAAGGATCCACCCAACGAGACTAGGGAGCAGCAGCCATAGGTAGAAGGGAGGACTGCAAGCTAAAAGTCAAGTGAGGTCGAATTTTGAAGAGCAGGGCTCGATCAGCTGAGCCAATGCTGCTGATGGGGGATACCCGTTGATGTGGAGACTTTGGTCTCTCTGACAGAGGGACAGGTGATAGAGATGAAGCCTGGCTTGGGTAGTAGAGTGTAGGATGACCTTACAAGGAGCCCTGCTGTGAAAGGAGATAGAAAATTCGGGAATGGCTACGGGAGGAACCAGAGCTTACTGTGGGCCAATAAATTCTTGAGGGGGAAAACTGTGGCCATCAAGGCAGAAGGGATAACTTCTAGGGTGAAACTCTTGTACTAAAGTGGATCTCGCATAAATGTAAGGATGGTGCATCCCTGGCAAGGCGGGAATGCAGTGCGATTGGCTAGGAAGGAGCCTTGGAAGTCTGGTGAGCCTTGTCTGCATGGATCTGCTTCCACAGAGGATGTGAAATGGGCTTTGTCAGCAGACAGAGGAGAAAGGCAAGGTGTAAGAGTTCAGTGGGAGAGAAACGTAGTGCCAAGAGATGCAGCTGGATTTCTGGGCTGGGAAAGTCTTTGCCTGGGTCTTTATGGACACGTTACTGCCTAGGAGACTGATCTCTCACTGGTTGGTTTCTCCTGCATTGTGAACAGTAACAAATTCACTCCAAATTAGAGAGCACCGTGGTTTCTGGGGTGATTATGGTCAGACACAAATTTGACCTCCAGTTATTTTGAGCTTCAGCTGGTAGCCTTTTCTGTCTCTGAACTGTACACATCTCATGAACCAGGAGAGAGAGGGATGAGCAGCACTCCACGCTAAGGTCTGCATGGGAAAAGAACATCTGTTGACTGATTCTGCTTCGGAGAGTTTGGGATGGCTTGCTGGGGGTGGCGATAACAAAGTTGTATTTTAAAAGAGGAGGTGGATTTGTCGAAGATGTCAGAAGGCGTTCCCATTAGAAATGGAGTACGGAGTTGAGATTATTAGACGTAATATCCGAATCAGAATATGGAACTGGAAAAGTAGACATGGACCAGCTGTTGGAAGATTTACCTTTTATACATAGTATGAAAGTTCTCCTTATGTTTTCCCAATGAAGTGTTCATAATGGCGAGAAGCTGGGAGCAGCTGGAGATGATAGCAGGAACTCTGAGCCTAAACCAAAGTAGTTAGCAGAGCAAGGGACCACGACGGGTGGATGGAAGAAGCTTAGGGCTTAGAGGTCACTTGCATATGGAAAGTGAACGAGAGGAAGGAAAAACAGAGGAGCAGAAGGCTAGGAGTCTTCTTGTCTATCTTAACTAGAAGGCTGTCAATCAGGATGTAGGAGGAGGGTAAAAGCAGTTCATCAGAGAGTACAGTAGACAGGACGAGGATCCAAGTGACTGGTGAGTTGACTCAGTGTGTAAAAGCAATTGCTATGCCAGCCTGATAACATGGACTTAATGCAGAGAACCCACAAAAGGTAGATGTGGTGCACACATCTATAATCCCAGCTCTCCTGACATGAGACGGGAGATGGAGTCAGGATGATCAATCAATCAGAAGTCCAGAACCAGCTAGCCTGGAGTACAAAGCATGGCAGAAACAGTGAAACAGACCCTGACTAAACAAAGTAGGAGAGAACCAACTCCCGACAGTTGTCCTCTGACCTACACACACTACAGCATGTGTCAACTCACACAAATATATCATACACATGCATACAACAATAAAGAAAACATACTAGGAATTCAAATCTGGAACTTTAAGGAACAGCTGAACTCATGAGGATGGATAGAAAGGACGAGAAGCTCATGAGACTGCTGGGGACAGGGCGAGCAGGAAGTGGCACTGGGGAGCTGCGGAAGGCCAGAAGGATGTGGGACCTGGGAAGAGCATCCTTGACAAAAGAAGGTCCAATGGGAGGAGCTGCTCAGAAAGATGTCTGTGAGACCCACTGCAGGGGTGGGGTACCGACCGGGTGGGAGAAGGGGCCCAGGAGAGCTGAAGACTGGGCACCGAAGGTCACTCCCGAGCAGGGAAAGGTGGGGAGCAGCGAAGGGACAGAGCTGGAAACAGCAGCAGCATTGTGGGTAAGGAGGATGTAGGGAGGAAGCCGAGGACCCTGTATCAGGAAGCAGTCCAGGGTAGGAGGACAGACAGAAGAGTGGGAATATTGAACATAGCATGGGGTGTGCAGCAGGGTCCTCCACCTCACCGCTGTCCAAAGTGGGACTCGACAGCTGCCGGGGTTTCAGGGGAAGCCAAGCAATGGAGGACGTGTGAGAGAGAGAGGGAGAGAGAGAGAGAGGGCTTGCTTTCTCCCTGCAAAACAGGAAAGGAGGTGCTGAGTGCAAACTAAGACAGAGAAAATAACAACAGAAGCAGCAGCTAACCACTTTCCTTCTGTTCCACCTTGAGAGCTGTGACAATCCCGTCCCCCTCTGCTTGTTGTGATACCTGGATTCTTCTCATTAATAAGTTAGCTAAGTGTCCTTCATGGTGCCCTCCTAAAAAAGATGTTTCCCACCAACTGACTGGTTTCGAAGTCCATTACATCATTGCTTTAAAGAAACATGTAAAGGTTTGACCGTGGACACAGTGTCTGACAATTTCCAAGTCTATGAGGAGAAAGCCATAATGATTTTATCTTACAAAAATATACTTGAAACCGAACTGTTTCCCTCACCCTGCTTAGGACTTCTTACAGGATACAGAAAGTTCACGAGCCCTATAGCAATTTCCCCAAAGAATTGGTGAGACCATACTTACAGTTTCTAATCTATTTTTAAGAATTGTTTATGTGATATAATTACACAAGGGCATCCAACCTTAACGGTGCTAACAGCCACGTGCTGGGCAGCACAGCTGGCTCGTGGCCACCTGTAACTTTCAGCCCAGTGTGGATAGAAGAGAGAGGCAGGCTGTTACTATGGAGCCCAAGATCAAGACAGTGATCCTCCTGCCTCTGCTTCTCCAAGGCCTGGATTGTAGGTGAGTGTTGGGCCTTACTTGTTTATGGATTTTCCTAAGATGTTCTTATTAAGGCAGGTCCGCCCTTCCCACCCCTCAAGGTAGGTCCACCTGCTCTCACACTTCAAAGGAGTGCCATCTTTGGTGCCAAGTTTTACATACAGGACAGACGCAGGACCTTGTGGCTTGACTGGAATCAGGCTTTTGGTGGCCTTGGTTGAAGCATGTTGGGTACACAGTGCCCCTCCTCCACTTTATCACCCTAGGGTCTGTAGCTTCCCCAGGTCTAGTCAACAGCAGGCTCCTGCTGGCAGATTTTCTCCATCCTTAATTTTCTGAATCTGGAGAGTCATGTTATGAAACATGACTTGATCTGCTTGACTCTCAGGACTAGTTCCAAGGTGTGGTCCAGACTCAAGTTTAATGGTCAGCTTACTAACCTTAGAGAGGGAGATGATGTTCAAGAATGCTTATACATTAATTCTTTACAACCTCATGTTGCTATTTGCAGAAAAGCTGACTTCATTCTGGAATCAAAGCAAACAATTTATATATATATATATATACATATATAATATTTTACCGGCTGCTTGGACTGTGAATTCATTTCTATAACAGAGAATTGCCAGGACTACATAGATAGACCTTGTCTTACACACACACAAATACACACATACACACACCTTCATACATATGCACATGCACATGGGGAATCATACAAACACATGCACACATGTGCTCACACACATATATTTATATACATGTGCATGCACACATACATTCAAATACAAAAACATGTAAACATGAACACATACACATGTTCACACATGTGCGTTCATAAACATGCATACACACATACACACATTCCTACACATATACATACACATATGTTCATACACATGCATACACATACACATACACACATACAAAGCTTGAAATAACGTGAAAAGATGTACAGGAAACTGTAAGAGTGATGCATATAGCTACTATATGTCCTTAAGCCAGATATTCACATTGCTAACATATTAACACATTTTCTATCTCTTTTGATATTTATTTTTGCTATTTCTAATTATGTATTGGGGTGTGATACGCACATCAGTGCAGTGCCTCTGAAAGCCAGAAAGGGAGTTGGATCCCCTAGAGCCAGAGTAACAGTGATTGTAAATCACCAAATGTGGGTGCTGGGAACCAAGAGAGGCCCTCTGTGACAGCAGCATGTGCTCTGGGCCTTGTCTCTTTTTCGTACATGTAGCCATTGTCAGTATTGTTTTTCCGAAATTTTATTTTCTAATTAATTTTTAGGTTAACATATAAAGTAATGGGCTTCACGGTGGAATTTCCCACGTGTCATGTGCTCTTCTCACATGTTTCTGTCCTTTTCTGAAGGTTATCAACATGATAACATGATGCTCCGCTGAGCCCTAAATGTACCAGTGCGCATTTTCTCAATCACCAACACTACACGACCGCCTGATAAATCAAGAAGTTGTCATTGCTACGCCGTTACCATCCAACTCAGACACCCTATAATTTTCACCAACTGCCCCAACTGTCCCTTACTGGGATAAGGTCAAAATCAGGGGCTGGGGTGTAGCTTAGTTGGTAGAGTGCTTACCCAGCATGCATGAAGCAAGCCTTGGGTTCAATGAAGTAAAAAGGAGACAAATCAGATCATAGATTGCAATTAGTCGTCAAATCCTTTAGTCTATAGCCCACCGTCCTACTGTGCCTCTCCAGAGGAATGCTGTGTGTGTGTGTGTGTGTGTGTGTGTGTGTGCATGTGTGTGTGTGTGTATGTGTGGCATAGTAGCCATTCTATGGTATTTATCCTATGGTTATACCTATCTTTGTCAATTTGACACAACCTTGAATCACCTGTGAAAAAGTCTCAATGAGGGATAGTTTAATTCAAGCTGGCCCGCAGACATGCCGTGGGGGGGGGGTCATTGTCTTACTTAACCGATATGGGAAGACCCGGCCCACTGTGGGTGGTGCCATTCCCAGGGCAGGGCATCCTAAACTGTATAAGGCTAGAGCCGCTGGCTTGAGCATAAGCAAGCAAGCGAGTGAGCAGACATGCATTCATTTCTCCTGCTCTTGATTGTGGATGTCGTGCAGTCAACATCCTCACGCTCTGCTACTGCGGCTCCCCTCGAATGGTGGACCATAAGCTAGGCTGGTAAGCTAAAGCCAACCCTTGCTCTCCCGATTTGCTTCTTGTCCGGATATTTTATTACAGCAACAGAAATGAAACTAGAACAGGTTGTATTTCATTGCGGCTTTGATTTGCATTTCTCTGATATTTAGTGATAGTAAGCATCCTTTATGAGCTTGCCGGCTGCTTCTGTGTTTTCTTTGGAGGACTATCTATCTACTCAAGCCTATTTCCCATTTATTGATGGCTTCATGTTTCTGAACTGCAGACGTTCCCTATGTTCTAGAGTCAATCTCTTATCAAGCACAACTTGCAAATAATTCTGCTGCCCTATAGCATTCCTTTTCACTATGCTGTCTGCATCCTTAAGTGGAAGTTTAAAATTTAGATGTAGTCTCATTTATCTACTTCTTTTATCAAGATTTTATTGGCTACATGGTGTACCTTGAAACACCATATGATTTTAGAGTGAATTTTTTCATATCTCACAAAAATGTCTTTGGGATTTTAATACAGATTATATAAAGTCTTTAAATCAGCCTAGTTTCCACCATGATTGGGTTTTCAAAAATCTGTGACTCCTGGGGCCGATGAGGTGGCTTAGTGGGTAAAAACCTGGCACTCTGAGTTAGTTCAGCATCCAGGTCCTGCAGGTCAAAGGCATTTGCAGTGCCATTAGGAGGAAGTTGGTGAGCTAACAGATTGAACTCATTCTCCTAGGTGTGTCATCGGCAGCAACTTCCTTTGTTGGGGGTGACTATGCTTCAGCAAGCCTGTTTAATGGTTTGTCGAGGGTCTGGGCACTGAGTCTTGTGTCACAGAAGATGCCTCTGGGGAAGCTGTCCCCATTCTGTGCTGCTTGTACAGAGCATCTGGGTAGTTGGTTAAGAGCAGACATTTATCTCTCACTGTTCTGGCGGCTGAACAGTCGAAGGCCAGGGGTCGGGCCTGGATACAGCCTTCAGGCTACGTCACCCCTTGGCAGAGCATGGGAAGGCTTTAAGAAAAAGTAGGAGGGAGACAGAGTGGGCCAACTCCGTGGTGATATATTGCTTATAATCTAATAAAGCTCACCTGAAGATCAGAAAGCAAAGCTGGCCATAGCAGGCAGTGGTGGCACACATCTTTAATCCCAGAAGCCATGCTTGCTAGCCATAGAGGCTGGGTGGTGGTGGTGCACGCCTTTAATCCCAGAACTGGAGAGGAATATAAGACAGGAGCAGGGTTTCATGTGGCATTCAGTCTCCAGCCACACGGAGGACAGGATTGCCCCATTTTGGACAGTGGCTGGCTGCTTTGCTTTTCTGGTCTTCAGCTTGAACCCCAATGTCTGCCTCTGAGTTTTTATTATTCATTCTGCATAACGCCATTTCCACGACATTAAGACCGCTTCCGTCTCAATGTGCTTCCTCACAAATCATTCCCTTCTCATAGTCTCTGCAACCCTAGACTGCATAGCATAAGGAGAGCCCCTTTCAACCCTGGCCGAGGTAAACCAGGAGACAGAGTCAGTCTAATCAGCCCGAGAAATAGGGAAGCCGGTGTCCTGGAGAGAATGCATTTCCTAGTTACCCCATCAAGTATCAGGAGCAGGATTTGAACTTACACAGTCTCATTGCAGATTCCATGCTTGTAATCAATATACAATGCTGTAAAGGCCTCTGCCCGCAGATGCCTGGGCCTGGTCCATATGCATGCAAATGGCACTGACGGCTGTGGGGGAAATAGTAAATGCTGCATTGTGAAATTCCTAAAATTTAAAACAGAAACTTTGATCATATGCTGACATAATGCCAAATCGCTTTCTAGAGTTGACTGCCGGGTTTGGTACCTCGTTTCATTCTCAGGTGGCCTGCGCCCCCTCCCTCCCTTTTTATAATGGCATACGGTGTGTTGGTAAATAAGGACCAGATTGGCTTCCTTAGGAGAGAGCAGCCCAGGGAGGGTACAGGAGGCAACTGCTGTTCTCTGCAGGCTTGGAGCCCTTCCTTGGCTGTCCTAGAGGAACACTGTTTCTTCCCCAGCTTAGTGACTCTCCTCTGGATCCTTCTGCCTTGTGTGCAGGTCTGCTCTCTTTTCCTTTGCATGTGTGGGAGTGGGGGAGTGGGGGAATGATGGGGGTCAAACTCAGACCCGGGGCCTCGCGAGTGCTGGGCTGGTACACTGCTCACATAGGCAAACCTTCTTTTAAGCCTCCTACCCCTTCTCTTCCGATCTCCAGAGCATGCCTTTGGTGGTGTTACCTCGTCATGCCTAAATACAAGGCGATTAACTCAGGTTCTTTCTCTCTTGACTTGGGGGTGGCCTGGTATAGCTTACAGCAGCCCTGGCTTCATAAAAATGCATGTTCCAATCTCTGTCTACAGGCTCCAATGAATGTCATTTCACTTCAGTGAGCTTCGGTCTCTTCATTGATAAAATTGCCATTAAAACTTCATAACGGGAAGTCATTCATAAGTAAGCCAATGAGATGACAAGTGTAACAGCAACCAGCCAAGCCTCCGGAGCATTGTAGCTGTTTAATTAAATCGACTTTTCTTAGTTCACGACCCATTCATAAATTTGATGCAGACCAGAGGTGAGCAGCCTAACACACACCATTCCTAGAGTGGTGTACGCTCGTCTGTTACCAGGACTTGCCCACGGGCAGGATTGGAGGTGGGGAAAGAAAACAGGAAACTCTGTCAACTTGTTAGCTTGCTGGAGGTTAAGGAATGATGGGTTATTTCTGCCTTGGGTCTTTGGTGTTTAATTAGATCATGTTTCTGCTGCAAGAGGAAGAAACTTACTCAAGACAGTGCAAGAAACGGGTGTTGAAATTGCTGCAAAGAAACCACCGGGCTCAACTGAAAACAGAGATTTGCAAGCCATCAATAATCCTGGTCTGTCTCCTGGGGGACTGTGTGGCCTTTGCTCTGAGTGTCTGCTCCACTCTTCTCACAGAGGCAAGCTTGTCTGCCACGCAGGAAGTCTTGATGTCTACAGCCCCACTAGCTGGCACTCCTGGGTAAGTCTCCTTGTGTGGTTTGTCTCCAGATGGGTGACTAGCTAATCTCCCGTCCACCCCACTTCAGGGCGTATGGAGGGAGTGGGCCTCCTATCTTCTGTGGCTCTGGCTGCCACCCCAGCCCTTGGTGACATTTGCAAAAGCTGCCCCTTTGTGGTTCTTAGCAGCACCAACCTCTGATGCACCCCATGTCATGCGCTCACCCCCAGTAATGTGTCCCGAGGGGGACAGCCATTTCCAAGAGAAGGACTCTTTGTTTGTGCTCCCCTCCTTCCCGGGAAGGGTGACTAGCAAAGAAAGCCCACGGCTTCCAGGTGCAGTTCAAACTGTACCTATCCCCTTTTTCTCTCCCAAGCCCTGAGCCGGTGCCGTTTCTTCTGAGCCTCTCTCTTGGATATCTTCTTGGCTATGGCTGTTTCCCTTCAGGAATATACCCCCTCCCCCCCCCCCTGGGCAAACCCGGGTGTGTTCTGGGAGCGTGATCTCATCTGAAGCACTCTCGAGACCAACCAAGAGACTCCTGCCGTCTCTGCTTCCTAAGAAATCCAGCCGTGACCCGGGCTCTTTGTAAGGCTGACTTGTCATGTTGCCTCCACACCCCTTTGAGCTTCAGTTTCTATGTTTGTTTGCTACGTCTAATTCACTATCTCAAGTCACAGAAGAGTAATTCTGATGGCCAGCTTGTTGCTGACCAGTCAGGTAGGGACGGGCTGCCTTGGTTGGGTTAGAAGTCCAATCGGTGTCACCAAGTTAGTGGCGGTGGGAACACATCGGGCCCATGCAAACCTTCCCCTTTAGCACATACTGCGTGAGGTGTTTTCTCGTTAGGGTGCCATGATGGGTAGACACGATGCTATTTAAATCCATCCATACTTCACAGATGAGCTAGTCTTGGAACCCCTCCCCCAACGACAACACACCCACCACTTCAGAGTGTGAAAGGTAAATCGGGTGGGAGGGTAGGGGCCGATTTGCATTGTCATCTGTGTGTGTCTCTGTTGCTTGGGCGGTTTGCTGGTGGACTTGGGTCCTGTCAGCTCTCATCTCATCCGTGACAAGTCACAGCTCCAGTGCTGCTGGGTTCCCCATCGCTGCCCTTCACAGCAAGACTTCAGCGGCTCCTAGAATGCCGCCCCAATCTTATTAACATTGTCTCCAGCACATTAGTAGGAAACACGGGTCTGAGGAGGAGTGACATTTTATGATTAAAAATACATTTGTTTAAATGGTTCAGTTGTCTCCATTTGAATATTGCCCACTGCTTCCATAATAATAGCAGAAGTTCTCGATGATGTTTTTAATGGCTAACCCCTGCTATATCTGCCCTGACAGCACAAAGCCTTGGATAATATGTCTTGATTTGATATGTGCTAATTGCTTATCAGAAATTACCCAGTTGTAGCCTATCACTGCTGAAATTACTTTCAAGGAAAAAAAAACTGGGCACTTTTGAAAGGTGCATTAATGCCACTAGGCCATGAATGTCACATTTAGTATTCTAAAACAGTTAACAATAATGGCACGAGAGAGCCAGTATAGCCAAAAGCATTCTGTGTTCACTCAAGGAAGGCACAGAGAAAAGCTGGACGGATGTAGAATGGAATGCAACAAAATTGTTGTCTCTATTATTAGTTTGTTCAAAACCATGAGCATCTCAAAGCGGTTCATGGCTCTCACGATGAATAGATACTCTTTATTATTCCATTGTAGAAATAGCAGACAGTCCAAACTTTGTGGAGTGGTGCCTGCTTTGGATCTGAATAAATGAGGTGACACTTTATATCCTTTGTGTCCACCTCTGTGGTACAATGGTGTCACGTTTTGGTTTGAAGAAGTTTCACATGATATATGGAGGCTGGGGAGACAGGGAGATAGTTTAGTCACAAAAGTACTTGGCACACAAGCTTGGGGCTCTGAGTTTGATCCTCAGTACCTGTGTGTTGGTATGATGGCACATACTTATAATCTCAGCACTGGGGAACTGGAGGCAGGGGGATACCTGGGACTTCCTGGTCAGCATCCTAGTGTAATACAGAACCCCCAGTCCCAGTGAGAGACTCCGTATGTGGAAAAGAAGGTGGATGCTCTCTCTCTCTCTCTCTTACACACACACACACACACACACACACACACACACACTTTCTACAGATAGTTCTACACGGGGCTGAAATAGCCCACTGGAAAACTATGTGGCAATGTGAAGACTAAAATGACAGAGGCAGTGACATTGTCATGGTGCTTCCCAGAGTTCAAGGCACAGAAAGGAGCCAAGACTCGATGACCCTCTCTGGGGTGGGAGGTGTAAGCAAACCACAGAGGCCCTCTTTGGCTTGAGTAGGTGCACGGGGCTAGGCTGGATGACACTGGACACAGACGGCTTCTTGGACAGATGGCAGGTTTGGGTGACTTGAAGCATTGGCCCACAGTGATAAGGGCAGTGGGTGTAGCATTCTAGTTCCTTCCCATGGGTTAGGAACGGCCGTGTCTGTAGCTCTTTGCTGGTGTTGCTCCATTTTCCTCTGTGCTTGGTATGCCCGAAGAAGGTGAGTACAGGTAGCTGTGGGCTCACAGGCTCGTCATATCTTCTGAGGAGATGCCACTTTCTTCCCCAGGGCTCACAGCCCAACCCCTGGGGAAGTCTCTGCCTAGTACCACTGGGTTATGTGTCAAGCCATGGACTCATCATGGGTAAAGGGAAGGGAACCCAGGTTTGGCACATTCCCATCTTAAAGGAAAGGGGCGCTTTAAGCAGGCAAAACATCCTGTGTTCACCTTCAAGCCTTACCTTGCATCTAATTCTGACTGCACGGCATTTCTGTCAAAGGCATTCTGCAGAAGATCTTCATGTAGGCCACAGACAGTCCCTCACTCGGTGTGCTCATATCCAACCGGTATCCATTCCCTTCTTCCCACACTTCAGAACTGAGTAAGAAGGAGAAGGACTGGGTTCAGTGTGTTCCAGAACTTTAAAATGAGGGCTCTAGAACTCAGGAGGTAAGGCAGAGCTGGAGAGAGAGAGAACTGTGAAAAACTGCATCACCAAGATTCTATCCTGCCGGGAAACACACCAAAACAGAGTCCCTCTGTCCCCACGCTGACACTCAGGAGTGACTCTGCCCCCAGGCTGACACTCAGGAGTGACTCTGTCCCCACGCTGAAACTCAGGAGTCCCTCTGTCCCCACACTGACACTTAGGAGTCCCTCTGTCCCCACACTGACACTCAGGAGTGACTCTGTTCCCACGCTGACACTCAGGAGTGACTCTGTCCCCATGCTGACACTCAGGAGTGACTCTGTCACCACGCTGACACTCAGGAGTCCCTCTGTCCCCATGCTGACACTCAGGAGTCCCTCTGTCCCCACACTGACACTCAGGAGTGACTCTGTCCCCATGCTGAGACTCAGGAGTGACACTGTCCCCATGCTGACACTCAGGAGTCCCTCTGTCCCCATGCTGACACTCAGGAGTGACTCTGTCCCCACGCTGACACTCAGGAGTGACTCTATCCCCACGCAGACACTCAGGAGTCCCTCTGTCCCCACGCGGACACTCAGGAGTCCCTCTGTCCCCACGCTGACACTCAGGAGTCCCTCTGTCCCCACGCTGAAACTCAGGAGTCCCTCTGTCCCCACACTGACACTTAGGAGTCCCTCTGTCCCCACACTGACACTCAGGAGTGACTCTGTTCCCACGCTGACACTCAGGAGTGACTCTGTCCCCATGCTGACACTCAGGAGTGACACTGTCCCCATGCTGACACTCAGGAGTCCCTCTGTCCCCATGCTGACACTCAGGAGTGACTCTGTCCCCACGCTGACACTCAGGAGTGACTCTATCCCCACGCAGACACTCAGGAGTCCCTCTGTCCCCACGCGGACACTCAGGAGTCCCTCTGTCCCCACGCTGACACTCAGGAGTCCCTCTGTCCCCACGCTGAAACTCAGGAGTCCCTCTGTCCCCACACTGACACTTAGGAGTCCCTCTGTCCCCACACTGACACTCAGGAGTGACTCTGTTCCCACGCTGACACTCAGGAGTGACTCTGTCCCCATGCTGACACTCAGGAGTCCCTCTGTCCCCACACACTGACACTCAGGAGTGACTCTGTCCCCATGCTGACACTCAGGAGTGACTCTGTCCCCACGCTGACACTTAGGAGTGACTCTGTTCCCATGCTGACACTCAGGAGTCCCTCTGCCCCCATGCTGACACTCAGGAGTGACTCTATCCCCACACTGACACTCAGGAGTCCCTCTGTCCCCACGCTGACACTCAGGATGACCCTGGTTCTTCACTCCCCTCCCTCTCCTGCTTCCATCTTTCAGCCATGCTTGCTGATCTGACCTTTAAACTGTAGTTGAAACCTGGCCACTGCCACCACTTCCCCAGTCCTCGCCTCAGTGCCAACTGTGCACTCTTCCTGAATACATTCTTGCCGCCCAGATCTCTTCTCACACGCAGAAGGAAGGTTTTCTCTGGGGGTCGAATAGCATCACTCACCCTTCTACCTAAAACCCTCTTAATGGCTTCCACTCAGATTAAGTAAAACCTCAGGACTGCCTTCCCATCCTAAGGCCTCACAGACTCGTGCCTGGCCTCGAGGCCATGCCAAGTTCCATGTCATTTTTGCTGAACTTCCTTCCTTCATTCCTGCTCTCCTTTCTCCCTGGGCTCCCATCTCTCCAGCTTAGACTTCCGCTCTTATTTCCCCACCACCACCCCCAAAGACATATAGGGTGAAGACTCGTCCTGTTCAGCCTTCTTTGCCCACCCTGGTGCTCCTACCTTAACACTGCAGCAGATGTTGCATGAGGTACCAAGGAGCAAGACTCACGAAGCTTCCGTGGGCCCAGCCTACACCTGCAAAATCGCCATACAGCAAAAATCACCATACACCTTTTAAAATGTATCCCAGTTTAAAAGGATAGACTCACAATAATTGCTTTTCTCAGTGCTGTGACAAATTACCAGACAAAGGGCACTTAAGGATGGGAGAGTTTGATTCATGGTCTGAGAGGAGAGAGTGCCTCACAGCATCCAGATAGGGCATGCCATGGCTGGTCACATCATGTCTGAAGTCAGGAAGCAGAGAGAGACGGATGCTGGCGCTCAGCCATCTTCCTTCTTCTGCCTATTCACCACCGCAGGGCGGTGCTACCCACATTCAGGGCAGTTCTTCCCTCAGTTAAACCTCCCGGGAAACTCTCACAGCCACACCTGGCAGTGTGACTCTAGATGGTTTCAAATCTTGTCACAATAATACTAAAAACCGAATTTATTTTTGAAGATTTATTTTTATTTTTAATGCTCTTATGAGAAAGGATGTGTGTGTATGTGTGTAGCTTTGTGCAGTGTGTGTGTGTGTGTAGCTATGTATATGTGAGAAGGCCAGAAGATGATCCTCTAGAGGTAGTTTATAAATAGTTGTGAGTCACCTGACCTGGGTTCTGGGGACTGAATTCTGGTCCTCTACAAAAGCAATGAGAACTCTTAACTGCTGAGCCCTGAACTTTTTTTTAAATAAGATATACAGAATTCTTCCTTTGACAAAAGAGTCATCTGGAAATTTCTGAAAATACTTTTCTAATATATTCAAAGTTTGTGATTTTATTTTCCAACATTCAGTTCACACAAGTGTTCAAGGATACATCAATTGTGGGGAACAAAGACTGATGGTGAAATTGAATCACAAAGACTTCCTGGGGAAACAAATGAACATCAACAATAGAGTCAAGGCTAGAAACCAGAAAATGGTAGATTGAGTGTTTGCTGGAATCAAAGAGACTCAGCTTCCCAACAATTTCCTCCTCACAATGGAGACAAAACTCCTACCATTCTCTCCCAGCTATGTAGCAGACAGTGTGGAAGCATCTAGAAGTGTCCTTCAGCACCAGATAATCTAATTGTGGATGGTTCATTCTGAGAGGCCTCCTTAGGCAGCTCTAATGGTCAGGGTGGGCACCCGTACCACCCTACTTTTATAACACATTGTGTTTTATCCTGTGTAAACAGGCAGAGTCAACACTGAGACAGTGAACTTAAACGTTAGAGTAATTTAGAAAAGCAAATAACAGATTTCTTCAATAAAAAGGGAAATGAAATTAAAAACAAGACCAGTTTCATTTACTAGACTTGAATGACAAGCTTTGCTATAGTGAATTTGCTTCCAGCTCAAAAAGTCTCAGCTAGCAAGGCAGCTAGGCACATGGAGATGCCTGCTCTACTCTGGGCTTCTTTGGGCGTGGGGGCTTCAGCTGGGTTCCGGGTTATTTTAAAAGGGGTTATATGAATATGTTTCTGTTCATATTAACAAAGCTTTCGGTGAGTACACATCTATTTGATGCTAACCAAGATGTATAGTGGGATAAATCTCAATGCTTAGACATCAGGAAATCAAAATCTAGACCTGAACCCTGTCTAAATACAACTTGATCTTTGCATTTTGATTTGGATGGGAAAGCAAAGTTGTGCTTACTCAGAAACACACGCAAGTTAAAACGATCTCCCAATGGGCTGCTGTGTTGGTGTCTCTATTCCCCAGGTCAAGGGTGGTAAGTCCTATTTAGACAACTGCGGTGAAGGACAGTGGAGGGTAAGTACATCTGGGGGTTGTATTAACTGCTTAGTGCTTACACACCAACACACAGCACCCTGTAGGAGCTTCAGTCTCGGTCTTCACACTCTACTAGACTACAAGACCCAGTGGTCATAGTCTCCCAGCACGCGGATACTGTTCACTGCTCCCGAATGTGTTTTTCATGCAACCTGCAGAAAAAAACAACAACAGTTTGACCAAAACATTCAAGTTTTCTGTTAAATGGACTTAAGTGATTCCAAATGAAAATGCTTACCCCTCCCACAAAAAAATTCGCTGTTTGGAATAATAATAAATGCTGTTGTTTCCATTGATCTTGGCGGTAGCCTGAAACATCAAGTGTGTTGTTTGCTTAATTTTCATAACGACTCCACAGGATAGGTCTTATTATCTCTCTTGTACAGATGAACAAATTAAGGGTCAGATAGGTTAATATGCCCAGTGCTATGTAGCTAAAATTGCCCACTCAGCATTTAAATTCTGGCATTTATGACTTTACACTGTCTCCCTTAGCAGTGAAAAGCCAGTCTTGTAGGAAAAACTAATTGCTTTATGTCATGAATCTGATCTGTCCTCTTTTAGAAGGAGACTAATCATAACCGTTCTGACACTACCTTAAAATGACGGCACCAGGTGGTCACAACTTTCTATTGACCAAGTGCTACAATGTAGCCTGGGCTAGCTAGTTCTTCATTCCTGCTTCATGGCTTGGTTCCATTCTTCAGATTTTTCCATCTTTTCTGTCCTTCACCTGTTTTCTAACATATCATCAAAAGACACAGCAGCTTAACATTACAAAAAGCTGTTTACACATGTAAATCATCATTAGTTGTATACACATATAAACCTAGTGAGCATTTAGGCAGGATTTTTTTCCTCCACTCTAAAATATAATGTACTTAGAAAGGGTAGAGGTCAGAAGTTCACAGCTTAGTGTACTTTCTCAAAATGAACTCACCAGCAGCCACACCAAGATTGAGAAGCCCGATGGCAGAGCCAATGACATCCACAATGTGGCTGCGATATTGTTTCAGAGTCTATTTATGTGAGTGATCTTTTGAAAGGTGAGAATACCTTTGAAACACACTCCATTATGCTCTACTTCATGCTCTATGCATCCTGGTTTGTTTACACCTGTTCTCTTAACCCACAGTGTGTTTAAAGAGACACATAGTTGAATATGAATGCCTCTCCTACTTGAAGTTCACATCAAAACTGCATTCTACAATCATTGGGCTACCTTCTCCTGCTAATATACTAAGATCTAGTTTTCATAACAACCATCTTTAAAAGACATTTCTGCTCTGAATTGTGAAATGCTGTTTGTCATTAAGAAGCAACGTTCAATTATGACTTTTCATATTTACTTACCAGTGGGCCTGAGTTCATATTCACCAAAGAAAAATGATCTCAGCCAAAACCTGCTGGATTTCTTTTTTGATTTATCAACACATGGGATGTGGACTTTGTGTGTGTGTGTGTGTGTGTGTGAGAGAGAGAGAGAGAGAGAGAGAGAGAGAGAGAGAGAGAGAGAGAGAGAGAGGGAAGGAGGGAGGGAGTCTATACTGCCATATTGCAATCCTTCTACCTCAGCCCCATCCCTGTGAGTGCTAAGATCATAGACAAGCATGTCTTCCTAGGCATGTTGACTTTTGAATATGACTGTTAAACATAATAATCCAGGAATTGTTCTTTGTCTGCCTTCCTATTTTAGTGATCGCTTTCCTGTCATCAGAGGAAGATCTGCCACTGTGGCATGTACCAAAGCCCCCGTCGCTTCTGTCAGGGAATGAGAGGCAAACCTCCAGCACGACGGGAAACATGCACAATCTGAGAATCACACGTGAGGGGAGTCAGTTATGCTTCAGAGATGAGTCACATAGGGTGGCACAGATGGTGCAAGTGACGTCTCAAGATGTAAAAATGTGGATGGAACCCACACCGAGGATTAACCTAGCAAGGTGAGCAGTGCGAGGTGAGGCAAACTCTGTAGGGTGAAAACTGCCCCAGTTCCAATGTTACCACCCGGCCCTGGGTGATCTTGGTGAAGACTCCTCATCCTGTGCTAAGTGGTTTCTTTGTTACGTGCTCCCTCAGACTCTAACCCTTGAACATAGAATGTGGTATTTCCCTGAACTCTCAGCTGTGGAGAACAACACAGAAACATTGGTAGCCCCGCTGGGCAAATGAGGCTGTGACCCAAACCTTTTGTTATAGTAATATAGTATATTCGTTGATTCTTTGAGAGTTCATACAATGTGTTTTGATCACATTTATTCCCTCCTCCTTCCTTCAACTCCTCCCAGATCTACCCCTTCCTCACCCCTCTACCTACTTCATGTTCTCTTTTGGTTTTCTAGAAGAGTCTGTCTCAAAGATGATGTCGAAGACTCCCTGACTCTTACAGACTTTTATGCTCTTCTGTGATGTTCCCTGAGCCTTAAGCGTAGGGGCTTCCAGGCACCTGTTTATGAAAAATTCATGTAGTGATTCTTTTATCCCATGCTTTTCAGTGTTTGGGTCAACACATCGGATATGATAATGGGGAACTAAAAGTATGAGATGTGGATTGTTATAGTTTAAAATGTATTTGGGCTTCATTTTTTCACGGGAAGAGCAGGGACCTAGTGCGTAGGTATTTGGCTCATACAGAGACGCGTGTGAAGCTGATGCTAGCCGTGCGAGCCTCTCACAACTACAGACCTGTCTTTCCTGCAATGCACAGTGCTCCCATCCCCCTCCACCCAACTGCAGTCTCCTGCTTTCTTTTTCTGCGCTGTCAGTTACTCACAAAACAAAAATTTAGAAAACATGGACACGAAAAAGGCATCACTGTTTTAAGTTGTTTCTTTGAAGTCTTTTTGTTTTGTCCATAGGTTATTATTACATAGTTTTCATAATTTGGGTGATATAATTTTATGTCCTGCTTAGGACTTTCAGTTTTTATTTCTATGATGGCAGCAATAAGCTCTTACTGAAAGTAGTTTTGTGTTGAAACTGCAAGTTTATCAATGTTGTAAAAGCTGCACCGGTTGCTAAGAGAAACTGATAATTTGTTCCCATAGGAACTGTTGTCTTAAAATGAGAAATATAGATTCTTTAGTTTCAATGAATAAAAAACTAGTTTGAGGTAGGAAGTATTTGCTCTTTCTGGAAGGAAATGTAAAATACCTTCAGATTAGAAAGGATACAAGGTTACAGTCATCTAAAATTGTTACCTTCAGTTTAGAAAGGTTACATGGTTACAGTCATCTAAAATTGTTACTTTCAGATTAGAAAGATTACTTGGTTAGTCATCTAAAGGAGTAAAAACCATTCCAGGTGCCTTTTCTGTTTGGTGGTCCCAGGGATGGAATCCAGGGTCTGGCTTGCTAAGCTGACACTCTACCGCAGAGCCCTCTATGCCCTTAGCTCTCAAGGTGACAACACTGTTGTTCTCTCAGTTTTCCTTGTGTTTGTGGCACCGCATGGTGATGCCTGGTAGTAGAGCAGAGATATTAGGACACTCAAAGCTTTGCCTTCTATGTGGTAAACAGCTAAGCAGGTAATTTGGTTTTCTTGTTTGAGGCATAACTAGAGGGAAGGGATGTTTAGCCAGGCTATGTGGAGTGCCTGAAGTACAACTTTGCCTCCTGAGTGTGTGCCTTAACACTAAGCTGAGGTAGCCATGATCTGGAGTGGATGAGAGGAAATGTGCCATGGATCATTGTGGATTCTTAGCCATGCAGACACTACTGTCGCTCACAGACTTGACAGCTGGGTAAGCCTATTGATTTCTAGTCTCCCCTTGCAGCATAAATGGCAGCCTCCAAAGCCATGAGAGCTAATCCTCAGAAAGGAGGCAGCCCAGGTCGGTTCCAGGTCCATTCCTTGAAAGCCAGTGTCTGGAGTGTATGGTAGCTTCAAAGATAGGGTCTTACCTTCAAGTCCTAGGAGGCAGCCATGGGCAGTGGCAACAGTATGTACTGTTTGGGGATTCTCCTAGACTCCCTTGACCAGCAGCTCAAAGGGAAGCTTCCCATGCCTGATTTGTGTTAGTCTAGGACTCTTGGGGTATGTGAATATGGGGAAGAGAATTATTATCATCCTATGTGGCATTGCTTAATTTAAATTATTTATGTATGTATACACATACATAAATACACACATATATTATATGTGTATTTTTAAATAATAGTGGCACTTTTACCTTGGAGGTAACCAACAGCTATCTAATTAGACTTAAGGCTCACTCAACAGAAGTGAATTCAGGCCTGGTACTGTGCATCTAGACAGCTACCCACTGCTGGAGAGGTCTCAGACCTGGGAGGAAAGCCCACTATTGCCATTCTCCTAAACCAATACAGTTTCTGACTATTCTAAATACTTACCCTTATGTCCTTACAAGTGCAGCTCTGACCCATCACCAGAGAAGCTTCCCTTCACAACAGATGCTGACTGTGACAGGGACCAACAACTGGTTACGATTAGAGAACAGGTGACCGAGGGGTGTCCAGTCTCAACTGATGCATCTATGAGGCAACCCTACACCTAAGGCTCAGGGAAAATTGCAGACAAACGACTGGAAAGATTGTGAAAGCCAGAAGCTCAGGGCATCTGCTGTGAGGTAGCGTCTTCTAGCTATATGATCAGGAAGCTGCACCCGTGAGATCAATATGGTTGCCTGAACACGATCAGTACAATGACAACACCAGTTGACATGCCAATGTGGACAGGGGAAATTCCATAAGGCTCCACCCCTAGAGAAGAGCCACGGAAGTCAATGGCTGCTGAAAGGGTGAATCTGTCTCCTCCATGAATAACCTACTCCATAGATTGTGCAATACCAAGTAGTCAGCCATGGACATGTACATACGAGCAAAGATAAGTGGACTCACTGGATTATACATACACGTGTGCACACACCCCAATGTTATGTGCATATATGCAATAATAGTAACTAAAGAAGAGATGGTGAGTTTGGAGGGATGGGAGGAGATGGGTAGGAGTGATGAAGATGTAGTGCTTGTATAATAAGTTCTCAAAAATGTAAAGAATGTTCTAAAGGAGAAAAGCCAGATAGTTGCAAGTACCATAAAAATTATAAGGTGATATGTTAATACTGTTACTTAAAATTTTAAATTAATTTATTTTTGTTGATTGTTTGAGACAGGATCTTGCTATGTTACTCAGGCTGGCTTTGAACTAATGATTCTCCTGCCTCAGTCTCCTGATTGCTATGATTATAAGTGTGTTCTACCGTGTCTACCCTTCTTTTTAAATTTTAAATTTGTAACTAATATATTTATATGATTCAAAATAAGCAAACTGGAAAATACTTAGAAAGTTATGCCTGGTTTACATTGATCTTTAGTAGGTATTTTTACTTTTATATTTATTTTCAATGGCCTTATTTGCTCTTAAATTGTAAATAACATCTATTCATTGCACAAAATGGTGCATTTTGTTATGACATTTTCATACAGGTATGTCATGGACATTGCTCATATTCTTAATTGTCTTACAGTGCAGTGTCCCTAGGGTGCAATATTGGCTTGCACCTTGGTGGTAACCAGTGGCTCTTTAATTGGGCTTAAGACTTGCTCAAGAGGAGGGTAATCATGCCTTGTACTGGACATCTAGACAGCTTCCCGGAGAAATCATGGATCTTGGAGAAGAAACAAAAACTACCAATGTACTAAACCAGCACAATCCCTAACTGCATTAAATATGTATCTTTGAATGCACCGACAAGAATAGGTCTCATTCCTCTGCAAAGAAATGTCTCTTTGCCACAGACAGAGATCTCTACAGAAAATCACACCTGATCAAAATGCAAAGAGCAAGTGACCACGTGGTGTCCAGTCCCAACTGATAAATCCACAGTACAACTACTGTACCTAAGACTCAGGGAGCATTGTGGAAGAGGAGGTAGGAAGACCGTAAGAGCCAGAGAAACAAGAACTTGGCTGTGAGATTGAGTCTCCTAGAAATGTCAGAGAAGTTACACCCATGAAGTCTCATCAGCATGACTGCATACACAAGACCTGAACAAGGACAACATGGATAGACATGCTAACATGGAAGGAAGAAATCTCATGGAAGCTCAACCCTAAATGAAGAAGCACAGACAACTAAGGAAGTCATGAGTTGGACAAATCGTCATCCCCAGGGAAGAGTCCCCAGTTGGTTATCCAATACTAAGTGTCCAGACCTATAATAACATACACACAAGTAGCATTATACAGACTGAGCAGGCTATATTTATATATTTAGGACTCTCTCTCTCTCTCTCTCTCTCTCTCTCTCCATATATATATACAGTCAGACATGGTCCTGGGAGTCCTACATCTTGCAGGCAACAGGAAGTTGACTGAAACACTGGGCAGTATCCTGAGCACAGGAAAACTCAAAGTCTGCCCCTGCAGCGACACCCTTACTCCAACAAGAAATACCTACTCCAACAAAGCCACACCTCCTAATAGTGTCACTCCCTATGAGCTTATGGGGGCCATTTACATTCAAACTACCACAAAATATATAACAACAATTTAAAAATAGAGGATGCATGGGAAATGTTTGAAGGAGGAACAGGAAAAGGAAAAAAAACACAATTATATTTGAATTTCAAAAAATGTAAATAAATGAAGTGTTTCTTAGTGCAGATATATTGTGGCAAATGTATAACATTATTCTCTTTTCCCTTTTATGCAAACAATATGTTCTACTCTCTACCTTACAGCTACTATATCCTGAAGGCTTTCCATCTCAGTGAACGAAATTCTTCTCCACCTGGTTTTTCATGGCTAAGCACTACTCGTTGTATGTGTACTGTGTATATTCTGTCAGTCCCTGTTGCGTTAGTCCGAGTTCTCAAGAGACAAAGCCCATGGGACAAACACGCTGAAGAAGAGCTTTATGGTAAGGAACACTTAGTTGTGGGGGCTTGCTGCTTCTGAGATGTGTTGAGCATCTGAGCACGTCCCTGCGTTGGAGATGAAGGACAGGGAAAGGTGCAGCTGTGTTCTGAAGGCCAGATTGCTTGGAACCCGGGAAAAACCAGTGATTAAGGCTGGATCAGAAGGCAAGGGGAAAACCTCAGCACCCCAATTTGCAGAGCACAGGCAGGAGAAGCTCTTTCCTTTTTGGGAAAGATTGCCAGGCCTTCAACAGATTGGATGAAGCCCCCACCTCAGAGTGCCACTACAGGCCAGCTTGATTTATTCAAACATTGACCTATTTAAAAGTTTGCCTCATCTGCAAACACCCAGGACAATGTTCTGCCAAATATTCATGACTCAGTCACGCAGGCACATGGCATGATGTTAAACTTTATACCGACTGATAGGTACCTGAGTGGTATTCAGACTTTTTGCTGTTACCCGTGGTTCTGCTGTGGGTAGCCTCTGTGTCAGTTTTCATCAAATGCCTGCAAGAACAACCCACAGGAACAAAGGGTTCCTTCTGACTCAGGTTTCAGAGATCTCAGCTGTCTCTGTCTCCATGGCCTGTGGAAAGGCACAGCAGCTTGACAGAGGTGGTCCTGGACTAAAGATGTTCTGCTTGTGGGGAAGAAAAAAGAGGTCGGTGGTAGGGTTTGTCTTACACTACCTCCTGAGATGACCACTAACTAGAGGCAAGCCACCAGCATGACTTGTGGGGACACTTCACAATCACATAACAGCCAGTGTGTGTACATATCATTGCATAAGTGCGTGTGCACAGCCATCTGTGGGGTGAGTTCCCAGAAATGGTCTTAGGGGTCCGAGCACTGACATGGGTAAGCAGTGTCCTATGGCCATCATGGGCTAAGTTCTCATCAGCAGCCCTGCTAGATTAGTAAGGGATATTTTCCGCAGACTTGCCAGCAACCATACTATCATTGTTTTTTGTTGTTGTTGTTGCCAGTTTGATATGTGGGCAGTGTCACATGGCCTTAATTTGAGTCTCTCTCATCTGAATGAGGTGACATGCCTTTTCCTGTTTTAGATATGTTCTTACTTCCTCACAAATGGTCTGCGCACAGCCCCGGCTCAGCTTCTATTAGGTTGTCGGACTATTCTCAATCTTTCTGACAAACAATAAGGAGTTCAGCTGTTTGCAGTAGAGGCTTCAACATTTATTTGGTTTGTTGTTTTTAGTGTGTGTTGCTTTTGTATTAGTTTAGGTCAGCCTTTCCACTTTGGCTCTCAGTTTTTGAGCTATGATTCCTAGGGCCTCTCCCAGGAACTTGCTCCAAGTTCTTGCTCGTGCTCTGGGCAAACATTGCTGGGAGAGACACTGAGCACACTGAAGCAGACACGGAGGAAAATCAGAGTATGCAAAGCCAAGTCCGAATGAGGAAGGTCACTAAAAATAGATATTTGATCTGTGTAAATGTAAACACCAAGAGTGAGATAAAACTAACAGAGACTCCCACAGAATGAGAGGAATCAGATGCATCTCAGAGTTTGAAAACAATAATCTATTCGAGGGGGAAAGGTACAGCTTGTCATAATTCCTGCTCCTAAACTAGGAATGCAAAGATTTAATGTAAGTTTTGATAAATACTTCACAATTTAAGATCGATTTGAAAACCAAGCTATTTCAACCTCATGAATTGAAAAGCATATTTGCTTATACTGGTAGCTTTTTACGGTGCTTGAATCATGGTCTGACTACTTTTAGAAATGAATAATGGATTAAAAGTACACTTTGCAGCTTACATTAGTTACTTTTGTAATGCAAAATAGAAGCATGATAATGTACTGTTCAGCATGCTTTAATATGATTTATACATACACTGCGCAGCATAAGTAATTCATTATGCCCTTCACAGTACATTTCCTGGGCCCAGGAGCTCATGACTGCCACTATTTCATCTCCTAATCAGTCTGTCTAATGGAGGGGGCCTGGGACCAGGAGTACCAATCTCCCAGCCCACACTGATCCAACAACTCAAGGTAAATGCTCCTCTGGGGTGGGAGGTGGGCTCGCAGGAGGAGGCAGCTTGAAGGAGCAGGTAGATAACACCTTAAGCATCCAACCTTAAAGAAGGGGCCTGGGTGACTACTTTAAACCTGAAAATGGCTTTGAAGTCTGGAGCTGTACAGGCTTTTCCCATAGTAATTGTCATTCCTGGAAACAGCACACTAGAAAGGTCATTTCTATATGGCAACAGTCTGTGGCTGCACTTCTAGGGAGAAGTCTTCACTGCTTCCCTGTTCAGGAAAAAAAATCACACACTGAATTTTTCTGTTTTCCAAGTGTGGATTTACTGAAAAGCAGAGTTGCTGGTCTTTGGACTTGCATTTTTCAGAAGAAACATTCTACTGACTCTTGGAAGTGGGGAGTGGTTCTGAAGAATAGCCTAACTTTAGTGAGGCCCAGGTGTAGGAGTGAACCCCACAAAGCTATCCACCCATGAGGGCGGAGACAAGTAAATTAGCACAGGTAGATATAAAAGGAAGTGAAAGGAAAAGGACTCTCTCTTTCTCTTGGAAGCCAGCACGCTTCTAACTCCTAGCTTGTGTGACTCTCTCTCTGGTAAATAAATATATTGTGTTCCCTATAGCATTGACTATCATCTATACCCAGGGTGCTGTGCAAATGGGGCCCACATAGCTTATGTTGAAATATTTAGATGGTATAGATCAAGCTAACAGACTGTTAAATAAAATATGCCATCGCCTCTTACCTTGACAACTGCATCTTCATGATAACACCTAAGGCTGGGTTTGGAATTCAGTTTCTCCCTGAAGCTTCTCAAATTGAAATCATGTTTCTCTCACTGCCATTTGATAGTGGCTAGCGATGGCATCCAGCCTGGAATCAGGACACACTTTCTGAGGCATATTCCAGAAACACGTGTTTCTGGGGCATGTTTAGTGAAAGCCTCTAAAGCAACTTTTGCACAATTCAATTCCTCAGCAATCTACATTTTAACCTGGTCTATTTATGTTCTGTCAGGAAAACCATATTGTGTGAGAAGCAAAATGTGTAGGTTTTCTACACAAATTTTATGTATTTATTTTGCCTAACACATAAACCATCATTTTGGTTCAAAGGAATTCTATTAGTCAAGTAGCCCAAATAATGAGAATGGTAACATAGAACAACACATCTCTTAGCCTGTACCTTAAGCAGTCTGCTTTATAGCTGATGTTTTTATTTTTGCTTGGGTATAGGATTCTTGCTCATCGAGACTGCACTTTCTTTGTTAAAATGTAAAACGCATATTGGGCAAATGCTCCAGGGCAATTTGCATAAAAAGTGATGACAAAGAGCAATTAGTACTTCATTATTATGCAGTGAAATGCTACTCTGCTCAAAAGTGACTCGAGTCCCCCTCCCATAAATCTGGTGCAGCATTGTTCTAAAAATAGTCCTAAAGAAACCTCTGTTTGTAAATCAGCATCTTTGACTTTCCACTAGCAATCCAGGGGGAAAGAAATCAAAGCACTAAATAAAGTTATTACCCTAGCTCTTTATACTGGGGAACAAGTACAAGAAGGCTGCTAGATAAGGAAGTTGGAAGATTTTAGTATCTCATTAAATTAGAGCCGTATCTTATCTTATCCTTTGGGGTCAGCTTTGAAGGCATGCTGACAGTAACATTCCTTCCTCCTAACACACTTGTTCACACACACTGAGAAGCAGGTCATGCCACACACAGCTACACTACACAGAAAAGTCCCAAGGTAGCTCCTCTTAGGAAGGCTTGATTTTTGAGTACAGATTTTATTACCATGAAAATCCTTTAGGGCAAAAATGAACTGCATCAAAGAAGCCAAGTAGGGAAGCAGGCTGGAAATGTTAGCTCCGTCACCTGTGCCACCAGGCTCTGTCTTTGCCAGGGAATGGTCTTTTTAGTTTTTTTTCTCTTGGGGAGCCAACATACCATATAAAACCTCGAAAGCCAAAAATGTGTGTATGTGTGTTTATCTCTATGTATATCTCTCTTCCCTTCTCTGTCTCTCTGTCCGTGTAATAATTGAGTAGTTGGATATTCACAGGAAGAGAAGGACAACACAGGGAACTTCCAAATCTTTGGGAATAACCTCAGGAGTGTAGAGATGACTGGGTTGCAAACTTGTTTTTGAACATCAAAAGCAAGCATGGTGGGAAAAGTTAGGACAAGGTGGGGGGACAGGGGCTGATCCCTAACCTCATTCGACAACCCTCCGTGGGGATCTTGAAGGCAGGGTCCCACAGTGGCTGACCCAACAACCTTCGCTGGCAGCCTGGGGGTCTGTTACTCATAGGAAGCTGG